CTATACCTTCAATGGGGAAGCAAAGAGGTGGTGGAGATGTCAATTACAAAAGGCCTTTAAAGAAAGACCTAGCAGGCAAGTTACTTGGGAGGAGTTTGTCAAAGTATTTAGAGACTGGTTTGTACCGATGTCTGCTAGGAAGTTGATGCAAGACAAATTCAATAGATTAGTACAGGGCGATAGAATAATTACACAATATGAGGTTGAGTTCACAATACTGAAGAAAAATGTCATCACTTTATAAGTGACTTAAACGAAACCATTAGACAACCATTAATCCTTTTTTGGCATTGAGGATTATACTACCTTGATTGAGAGGGCAAGAAGAATTGAGAGTGATTTGCAAAGTACACAGAGGAGAAGTGATTTCAAAAGAGGAAAAATGAAGATAGATCAAAGTCTATCTAATCTTTTTAGTCTGGAAGACCCAATTGGAAGAAGCCCAAGCACAACACTTCAGAGAGCAGCACTCCTGTTATATGCAATAAGTGTGGGAGGGCTCATAAGGGAGAGTGCCTTTCTGGCACCAATACCTATTTCTGGTGCCATCAACCAGGGCACATGGCAAAATATTGCTCTATCTTGGGACAGAGGTCTACCCCAGAGGCTAGAACAGGTAGTGCTCCTCAGATGACAGTTGGAAGGCTAAGGATGGTGGAGTCCACTGCATCAACTCCATCTCAGGGCCAAGTTCGCCAACCTGTTCAGCCAAGGGTTTATGGTCTATCCCAACAAGAAGCCAAAGACTCACCTGATGTTATTACAAGTATGAACTTTATTTAATGCAATGATTTCGGGAGTGGAGTATTGTATGATCAGTCCCACCGGTCCGAATGGACCGGCTTATGCGAACAGAGGCAGATATGTCGCCTCCTGTTTGCGTTGAACACAATCCAAAAGGGTTAGGGAGCTATTTTGGAAGGATTTTTTAGGGATTTGGGAGGGAAATTTGAATGTAGGGAATGTTTAGAGATCTCCTTGTGAATTGTATGCAATAAATAGTTGGTTTTCCTAGGGTTAGAGCATCTTGAATTTGGCTGAAATTTGAAATCTCTAAGTTTCTTTGGGCTCTAGCGGTGTCTACATATTTGGGAGAGAAAGATCCTCCTCGTGAATAGAGGTTCAATTGTATATTGGTATTTTCTGTTTCTCTTTCATCAAATAATACAAATTATCTATTGTTTCATGGTTTTGTGTGAATTTTTGTGGAGAATTCTTACTGTTTTTCGAAGATTGATAGGAAATACTTACGATCTACAAGTGTTTACTATCACTTCCATAATAAACCTACCCAACATGAATCCAAATTGATTTTGAGAAATATTAGTATATATTAAACAATGCTCAATTATTCTCTCATATTGATGCAGGCAAAAATTTGGGAGAGGGCCCCAAATTTTTGCTAACAAAAGAGACTCTTCCGAGATAATAGAAGATTACAAAAACTCACTAAAACTAAATAAATTAGACAATTTATGACAAAAACAAACTTTAATATTATAAAAGACGATTACAAGACGCTTACAACTCTTGACACTTACAAGCAACGCAATAAAGACACATAAAGAAGCTTTGCCATTCTTCGAGAAGAAGGATACAAGTGGGGTGGATACATACGGGAAGGAGGAGGCAAGAAGTCCAAGATTAAGATAGGAGGACAAGCTCGCAAGCTTTCCTAGGAGAAGGGAGGAATGGAATAAGCTCTCGAGCTTTTCCACGACGAAACCCGCAGGTTTAGATCCAAAAATTAGCACATATAGCATCTCTTTTTAAGCCTCAAAACATCTCTTATTTATAGAAAAAAAGTGCAGCCAAACAGCCACCTAAATTAGGGAATATAGAAGACTAAAAGACATCAAATAGAAGGCCAAAAGACAGCAATCAGAAGGCCAAAAGACAGCAAATCTGCAGCAGGAAAACTGCACAACAAACAGAGAATCCCATGGAATTCCCCACCCCCCCAAACAGCCACCTAAAACATCAATTAAAACCAATTAGATTTAGGAAAATGAAAGGCCAACAGTCATAACACATCAGCCCCCAAACAGTACCACCAAACAGAGAAGAAAAGCCACGGGAACCAAGCAGAAAAGCCACGGGAACCAAGCAGAAAAGCCACGGGAACCAAGCAGACAGCCGCAGGAACCAAGTAGCCAGTCATAAAACCAAGCAGCCAATCACGGGAACCAAAAGAGCAAGGCACGGGAAAATCACTCAGCACTGGAAAACGAGAAGACAAAGGGGAGGAGAAGAGGCAAGTCCACTCCAAATTGAATTCATTAGTTAATAGTATACCTTTTTGAATTAATGAGCTAGGAAGTGCAATAAATCTCCAATCATTGAGCTAAAACTTCAGCTCAAGCATTTATGAGCTAACTCCAAGTAGAATTCCAACATTTTTAGCTCCGTACCAAGCAACCAAGACTCACCCGAGAACAACAACAGCCCAATGGTCAAAACAAAATATCCATTTTGTTTTGACCCCCCCTTTGCATGCATCAGATACTCTCCTACTTAAAAAACTCATCTCCCGCTGAGTTTTCTTTAGCTTTCTTCCGAGGAGGCGAAGAAGGCGCATCAAGTTCTTGAATTTTTTCCTCGAATTTCTTCAGGATTTCTTCTTGCTCTTTCTCGAATTATTCATGAAGAAATTTCTTCCTTTTCTCGTATTTCTCATCACATAAGAACATTAGATATTGAATTTTATACAACTCATTTTGTACGGATTTGTTGAATCACCTTCTGTCGGAACCCATCTGTCCATCGGAAGAGGGATTTCAAGATCATCTGGCTTGCTTTCTTCTTTGAGTGAATCAATCTTTTTGTGATTTTTCATTTTTTATAAAAACTCAAAAAGAAACTTAGACTCAAAGAAAGAAAGACTCAACCTAAAGAAACCTAGACTTACACAACAACTGTTATGACTCACCAAGACACACACAACTTGCTCTGATACCAATTTTGATGCAGGAAAAAAATTTGGGAGAGGGCCCCAAATTTTTGCTAACAAAAGAGACTCTACCTAGATAATAGAAGATTACAAGAACTCACTAAAACTAGACAAATTAGACAATTTAGGACAAAAACAAACTTTAATATTATAAAAGACGATTACAAGATGCTTATAACTCTTGACACTTACAAACGACGCAATAAAGACACCTAAAGAAGCTTTTTCATTCATCGAGAAGAAGGATATAAGTGGGGTGGATACTTGCGGGAAGGAGGCAAGAAGTCCAAGAGGAAGATAGGAGGACAAGCTCGCAAGCATTCCTAGGAGAAGGGAGGAATGGAACAAGCTTTCGAGCTTTTCCACGACGAAACCCGCAGGTTTAGATCCAAAAAATAGCATATATAGCATCTCTTTTTTAGCCTCAAAACATTTCCTATTTATAGAAGAAAAGGACAGCCAAACAGCCACCTAAATTAGGGAATATGGAAGACTAAAAGACACCAAATAGAAGGCCAAAAGACAGCAAATCTGCTGCAGGAAAACTGCACAACAAACAGAGAAAATCCCATGGAATTCCCCCCAAACAACCACCTAAAACATTAATTAAAACCTATTAGATTTAGGGAAATGAAAGGCCAACAGTCATAACACATCAGCCCCCAAACGGTACAGTAAAACAGAGAAGAAAAGCCATGGGAACCAAGCGGAAAAGTCACGGGAACCAAGCAGAAGCCGCAGGAACCAAGCAGCCAGTCATGGAACCAAGCAGCCAGTCACGGGAACCAAAAGGGCAAGGCACGGGAAAATCACTCAGCATAGAAAAACGAGAAGACAAAGGGGAGGAGAAGAGGCAAGTCCACTCCAAATTGAATTCATGAGTTAATAGTATACCTTTTTGAATTAATGAGCTAGAAAGTGCAATAAATCTCCAATCATTGAGCTAAAACTTCAGCTCAAGCATTTATGAGCTAACTCCAAGTAGAATTCCAACATTTTTAGCTCCGTAACAAGCAACCAAGACTCAACCGAGAACAACAGCAGCCCAAGGGTCAAAACAAAATATCCATTTTGTTTTGCCCCCCCCCCCCCTTTGCGCACACATTAACTTAATTCGTCTATAATTTGCAATCCTATACATTACCTTTATTTTTAAAAATAAGAACTAAAACGCTCCTCCACTCATGTAGCATCTTTTTAGTATTTAAAATAATATTAAAAAAATTAGTAAACCAAAAAATTTCTTTGATCTCCTAAGCATTTTCACACTTTTTTTAAATATATCAAGTTCTATTGTTTTTTCACACTTCATTTATTTAAAATCTCTACAACATCTATTTTACTAATACGATAAAAAAATATATATATTTTTTTGTATTTAGGGTGTTAAGGTCACTAAAGTCAATCATATTCTAACAATCTTTATTGAAAAATTTATCAAAATATCTCATCAACTTATATTGAATATCCTCTCCTATGAATAATAAATTTTGATATTCATCATTAATGCTTTATTTGGCTAACTTATACATCTATTTTTCGCTCTCCTAAGTATCTAGTTTATTATGTAAAACACTAAAAGTTATTTTCTTTCTATTACATTGTTTTTTTTTTTAATTCTTACGAGCCTCACTATATATTTCTTAGTTTTTCTGAACTTTTACATCTAAATTTTTTATAACAAAACTTTTTATTTTTATCTTTTCTAGCACATTTTGATTCCACCATCAATAATTTTTTACAATTACGAGCTTTTACCCTTAATTCTCCTAGTATATACTTGACAACATTCTTAATATCACTAACTACTTTTATCTTGTAACATCAACTTCACCATGGACAACCTAAATCATAAGATTTCATCTTGTATGCAAAAAAACCACATGGGTGAAACATTTCTTAAATTGCAGCCCAACTGTCCAACAACAAGAAGCGACACATAAAAACTATCAAATAAAAAATAAAAATCGTTGGCCAGCAATATATGCTAATATTCACCAAGGCTCCAAAATTTCAATTGGGATCAAAGAGCGCTAGAGACAATCTTTACCTGGATAGAGTTGACGGCACCACGATGAGGGCTGACGATTTCCTTACGGTTCGAAAGTTGTAAGGCGGCGACGCGGCGCGAACGGACTCTGCTGGTGAATAAGCTCGGGCGTATTTTTCCCGCTTCTCTGTCGCTGACCTCCCTCCACATCTCCTCCTGCGCATCTTCGCCGGCGAAGGCGCCGCCGCTGCCACTTAGGGTGTAAGTAAATTGACGGCAAATATCGGTTTCTCTCCGTCAACAGAGGTTCGTCGCTGAGATGGATCCGATTGAAGTTGGTAATGGGTCGGTGCGGTGTAGAGTTTGGATCGGATTCCACACAATGGTGGGCCCTAGCCGATGGCCTGATTAGCCGCTTATAGCCGTTTGATCCCCGTAATTTCTTTAATTTTTAATTATTATTTGGAAAACCATCATCGCTTGTTGATCAAAATTATTTATCTAATATCATAAATTTAAATTACATAATTTATGATTTATTATGCATTATTTTAAATCATATGTCCCACCCAATTTAGGAGTGTCAATAAATAATTCATCTTGTCAATTAGATCCAAACCCGATTTCAAAAATTTGAGTTCAAGTTGCTTCCCACCATTTATTAAACGGATCCAATTCAGATTTATCTGCAAACTCACTTTTGACCTAAACATAATGCGCTCAATGTATTTTTATTTATGAGTATAATCTTATTATTTTTTATCAAATATTTTAAACATTATACTTAATAAGTTAAATTTTTTTAATCAAAAAGGATAAACATATCGAATTTGAATTCATTAGATTCAGATTAGATTAATTTCGCATCAGACTCAAACTAGACTCATCAATCCATTTTGACATCTCTAACCCAATCCCACCATGTATCCTAGTCTTTTTATTATTGAGATTGTAAGGAAAAAGACAAAAAATACTTATACAAAATGCATCAGAATAAAATTTTGAATTATTTTATTTATGTTGAGATTTGATACATCATCAAAATTTTATCTTGATTGGGCACAAATCTCAAGGCAAAATCAAATTGGAAACTTCCAAAATTAAAGTTGGGGCCATCTGAACTCTGATTTCAACAAACTTATAATCGAACTGAGCGTCTTAGAAATATGAACCCATCGACACCAAATTCGACACAATCCGAGCCCAAATGGGTACAAATCATGGGTTCAAAGCACTGTCGGAGGGTTCGAAACCACAATTTGGATTACCAAACGGTTTTCAAACATAACATGCTTATAGTGGAATAGAGAGGCTCTACGAGACAAATCCAACGAGCCAAAGATCATAGAATTCTGACATCACTAATATATCGAAATGTCCATTAAATGGTCAACGATCAAGGGATTCAATATTGGCCGTCCATCCAAGCCACTCCCCATTTGCCCTTTATCTCACACTTATTTGCGGACCATGCGACTGTAGAAAATCTAAAAATAGACCCCTCATTCCTCTTGAAAGGGGGCTCCAAGCAAGAGAGCAAAAGAGAGATCGAAGATCTCTCTTGCCTCATCGCTCATCCTCGACCACTGCCTAGACTTTTGTCTAACCACCACATGAGGCCCGAACTTCCGTCAGACCACCACCTGAGGCACGAACTTCCATGCAGACCATCACCTGAGGCCCGGACTTCTGTCAGACCACCACGTGTGGCTCAAACTTCTATCAAACCACCACTTGAGGCCCGAACTTCCGTTGGACCACCACCTGAGGCCCGAACTTCCGCCGGACCACCACCTGAGGCCCGAACTTCCATCGGACCATCACCTGAGGCCCGGACTTTTACCAGACAACCTTTTGAGGCCTAAAATTCTACTAAACCACCACCAGATGCCCGGAATTCTATTGGACCACTACTTGAGGCATGGACTTATGTCGGACCACCACTTGAGGCCTGGACTTCTATCAGGTCACCACTTGATGCCAAGAGTTCTACCAGAGTACCGCCCTACTATAATGGTCTTTCTAACCATGATATTCGGTAAACTATGATCTTTTGTGTCGCAAATCTGATTTCGGTGAATATAATTTTGGTGATAGCAAAACACTTCTGTTTCTCTACGACTATCTTGCCTACTAATATTTTAGATCCACAAGATCAAATTGTAATTTAAACCAGCTCAAGATTGGGTAGACTATATCAGTTTGTAATCTTTTCCTTTTCTTGAGTTAATTGTAAACGATGTGGTTCATGATACTAAGTAACCTTGCACACACACACTTAGGGGGATTTTTTTAACTGTTTTAGAGTTTTCTATTTTTTCTCACATCATTTGGGACGATCCAAAAATCATCTTAGATGACCAGTTAAAAATAAAAACCCTAATTAGGGCATCCTGGTTAAGACAGACATCATTAAGTGCATCATCCTGAACGATATTCGTATCTGCCGGGACGATAGGCTCAAATAAAAAAGAATCAGCTACCAGATCTATTTAGGTATATATTATTTTTGGACATCATCCAATACATCGTCCTAAAATAATACAATGCAATTATGCCTAAATTAATCTGGTAATTAAGGAAAGCAATTAAGGTTTGATTTCTTGATCATATCATCTTGGACGATCTCAGTATCTGCTTAGATGATCACTTCACAAACCTTAGTTATTCCTGGATGATCAAACATCGACCTACTTCTACTCAGGGTGATGTTCTAGATGATATGTGCTGAATTGAACTAATCATACGGGACGATCGTCAGATTGGACAAGATGATCAAGTTAATTTTACATCATCCACACATCCATTCAGTGTGATATATTTTGGTTGATATTCAACGATTTGTACTAATCGTATAGGAAGATATCATATCAGCCTGGACGATATAAACAAAAACCTTCTGATCGTCCTAAATCATCCTAGCTGATTGAGCTAAATTTTTACTGATCGTACGTGACGATATTTATATCATCCTGGATGATAAAGTTAGTTTATTATAATTAAGAGCTATTCTGAAGCTCTTCTATACAAGACCTTTTATTCTACCCAAGAGAATATCTTTTGTTGTTGTTCTGACCTAAGAGAGACAAGAGGAGTGGGAGAGTAAGGGAGAGAGAGAGAGGATCTTGTGATGAGGAGTTTGTGAGAGATTTTAAAAAAGGTTTCTCCAAATAACGGACCATCATCATCTTCTCCAGTCATTGTCCCTAGTTCTTTGGGGGTTCTAGATAAGTCTATTTCAGCATCTAATCAAGGTTCTTTTCCTACTTTAGGTGGAAGCAAAAGAAGTTGGGTTCTCTGCCTGCTTTTGGAGGAATAAAAAGGAGTTGGGTTTTTTGCCTCACCTGGGTTGGTGGAAAGGAGGTTTGTACAAATTTCTTCGCCTTACTGTGGTGGCAAAAGGAGAGACACTGAGGTTAATGCAATACTCAGAGGGCGTCTCCAGGGAGTGGACATAGGTCGAGTTGGTTGAATCTCTATAAATTTTTTGTGTTCTTTATTACTGCTTCCACATTTTATTTATACACTTTATTTTCTATGGTGAACTTTGGTTTAAGTTTATACTTTTGCTAATAAGATTTTTAATTACCAATTCACCCCCCCCCCTCTTAGTTAGCCTTGGGATTAGTTCATTAGGGCTTAACATCCATGTCGAACTTTCAAGTGGTATCAGAGTGGAATTCATAAAATCAAGTTTTTGAAAACTTTTGAATATTGATCAATGGCTAACTTTGGTAATCATAATACTACGGAAGGATATTCTATTACACGACCACCTTTATTTGATAATATTCTTTTTTATTTTTGGAAAACTCACATGTCTACATTTTTACAATCAATTAACTATCACACGTGGATGCTTATTAAGGATGGTTATACTCCATCACATGAAATTAATGGAATTAAAACTAAACTTCCATTTACTAAATGGACTTTTGATGAACGGGATTTGACGCAACTTGATACTAAATATTTGAACTATTTTTTCTATGCTTTGAAATTTAAAGATTATATGTGTGTTTCAACTTGTGCTACTGGTAAAAAAATTTGGGAAAGATTGTGTATTATTTATGATGGAACCAATGAAGTTAAACAATCTAGATTAAATATTCTTTTGCATGACTACAAACTTTTTCGTATGAAACCAATTAAATCAATTTCTAACATATATACCAGGTTTACTTTAATTGTCATCTCATTGCATACTTTAGGAAGAAAGCTAACTAATTATGAAAAAGTCAATAAAATTTTAGGATACTTGCCTTCTTCTTTTGATACTAAGATTACTGCAATTATTGAATATAAATATTTGAATATTTATTATGTTGATAATTTACTTAGATTACTCATTGCTTACGAGCAAGAGGTGAATCAAAAAAATCTTGATATATGTGAGAAAAAGAAAGAGAAAATTGTGGCACTGAAGGCTAACAACACGGACATTAATTTTTTCGGGTCTGAAAGCGATGATATTGCCTTCATTACTAAATAATTCAAAAAATTTCTAAGGAAGAATAACAAGTATCATCAGAAGTGGAAAAAATATAAGGATAGCAAAAATTATAAAAGTTTCTCTGATCTTCTTTGCTATGAATGCAGAAAGCCTAGACCTGTCAAAGTTGATTGTCCTACACTTAAGGATCACTCAAGCAAAGAGAAGGGTAAGGAGAAACCTAAATACAAGAAGGACAAGAAGCAATACCAAAAGGCGTTCTAGGCAAATTCTGCATCTAACTCATCCGAGACTGAAGCTGAAAAGAAGATAACAAACTTGTGCTTAATGGGTGATCATCTTGGTCGGTCTAATAAAGAAGAGGTATATGAACCAACCTATGATCAATTACATAAAATTTGTAAAAAAAAAAATCATACATCATATAAGAAACTTAAGAAATCGTATGCTAATTTAAAATTAGAGTTTTTGAATTTGCGAAAAGAGCATGAAGTTTTAAGTAAAGAACATATTTAACTTGATATCAATCACATGTCTTTACTTGATGAGTTTGATAATTTAAATAAAAAACATTCTGAATTGATAATTGAGCATGATTCTTTGAAAGCATCCTACAGCTCAGTTGAATCTGATTTTAATACTTATATTAAAGAATCTGAGCATAAGGAGCACTATTTGAATGTTGATAATGCTGTTTTAGAAAGTACTAACTTGAGGTTTAAAGCTAAATTGAATGTACTTGAGAGAAATTCAAATACATCCACACTTGATCTAAAACCAAAATCTAAGAAAAGGCATTATAACCCGAACATATTAGTAAATCCTTTTTTTGGAGTTGGATATTTTTCATGTGGCATGTTAAGACATATTTCACATACT